CAAAGTGCCTATCTTAAATGCTTCAATATTAAAACATTTTAAAAGATGCCAGAACAGTGAAGACAAATGAAATGCTACTCTAATGACATCAAGGAATAACAAACTGGTCATTCTTTTCTTTTAGCATTTCCCTTTTTTCAACAGCTTCAAGGATCACACAACTGCATTTACTGCACTAAGGACTTTTCAGTCATTGAAAGGAGAAACAGAAAGAATCAAGTTTTAATCTTTAAATTTTTTAATAGCTGTTTTAAGTTTCCTAATTCCAATCTTTCCAGCTCCACTACGGGCTAAGAAGGAAAACTGCTGAACTGTCTCTTAATACAGATAAGGGGTTCATGCTCTGTTGATATCTAGTATTATGCTTTAAGTTTATGCTTTTAATGGTTATCACCCAGATCCCAATGGCAGCAGAAATTCATAGCCCTAGTGAGAAGTTTGTTCAGTTTGTTAGAGACTTATCCATCTGAGTAACTAGAAAAAATTCCTCTGTACTTCACTGTAGTTTGTATCAGTCTTGAAATAGTTAAATATTAAGCCATCACTGCATTCCTCCCTCATTGCCATTCCTCCCATATCCATATCAGGAGAAGATTATCCTTGGTGCCAGATTCCACTGTCTGTATCAGACTAAGTGGTTCAAAGGCCAAGTGTAGGAATTCCGTTTTAAAAAATACTAATTTTCTGTTCTCTAAAAAAGCAGCTCCCCAAAGTCACTGCAAGCATTTTTAGAAAAGCGGTAAAGCATATAAAGGAAAGCAACAACCCAATACCTTTCACAAATTGCAAAGGCATTTAAATAACACTATCAGTGTTTTTATCATTTGTGCTCTTTGTCACCACCGAACAGACCAATTTCACTGGTCCTCAGATGATTTCAAGCTGAGCAATGCATTCAAGAGAGCTACGAAGTGAAGGCCTAGGACAAACTTACTCAGTGTGTGGGACAGCAGGTGAAATAACAACAAAGGGAGGAAATAGGCAAGCGACGAGTCACCAAGGGTCAGCCCAGGAAAAGATTAACTAATGAAAAATTAGATTTTGAGAGATATAGGAAAAAAAGTACCCATGCCCTGGCATGTTTCCTCTCCTCATGTGGACCAATCCTAGACCCCCACGATTTGCAGGATTTAGTCTGGTACACGAGGACATCTATCACTGTACGGAAACCAATGACCCCTTTGCCATAGATTGCCTAACAGAATTACCATGGCAAAGCAAAGCAGTGTTTACTGTCACACTGCTTTGTCAAAGTCTGGCTAAGGCTTCAGAGGCCTGGGGAAAAAAAGGAAGGAAAATGTCCATGCATCACAAGATAACCTAGTTGAAAACACAGCTTTAAATATTGAGGTCTTCAGCAGGTAATACTGGTTGGAAGATCAGAACTGCCAGTGGGTGCTGGGTACAGTGCTCTCTGTGCTGGGTTCTGCCCATCCCTGTGTGATAAAACACCACTTTTTGTGACTGTTTCAGATACAACAGCCCTCGGCGACACAGCAGGAAGGAGCCATCTAAGATGAGACAGTAATTCCTCTGAAGACTTTCCAAAATTGAATAGTGAAATTCTATTTCATTATCTGAGTGGATCTAATACCAATTTTCTCCTCTGTTTTCCAAGATAGTAAGAGTTACAAGTCTACTGAGATGTTGCCTGCCTTCTCCAATGGGAAACAAGTACAGGCTGTAAGAGTGAGGCTTTTTCTTCTCTTTTCAGGCAGGCATATGGGAACCACGGCGTGAATTCATTTTTGAGAATTAGCTTCTTTGCTGCCTCGACTGGAGAAGCAGATGATGTGTGGACATGAACCCAAAGAAGCTCAGCAAATGCCAAACGAAATTAGCTCATATCCACAATGCAGGAACACTGCAAAGACGTCTGATGTAGGTGAGACTAACACAGCAACAGCTTTAAAGAAGATGAAGGAAGTAGCTCAAAACTCCCCTTCCCTCAGGAAATATAGAGGCAAGTGAAAAATCCACAAATGTTTTTGGAGGTGGGAAGGATTTGGCACATCCACATAGCAGATAAGAAGCAAGTCAAAGGTTAGCTAAATGTTACTAGTTATTCCAGTTTGAAATTCTGTATTGTCCCAACATCATGGTTGCTAACACCGTGCTTGGCTGCAAGGAAGCCTTTTTGAGAGGCACTGGATTACACTGGGTGGGAACTCTGCCATCCTGAGCTTGCAGTGCTTCCCACTGAGCAGTAAGTTTCAAATCCCTAACAAATGCTTTTGTGCACTCCCTACATAAATGCCTCTGGGCAGAGAGAAGGCAGGAGGGGACACCAGTGACCACTACCTAGATGATACTTTCAAAGTGTCCAGAAGAGAAAAGAGGGAAAAAAAGGGCAAAAAGGAGAGTGGAAAGGAGAGAAAAAGATCAAAGAGAAAGGATAAAAAAGATACTAGCTTTGCTAATGATTACACTACTAGCATCATCTAGAGCACAAGTGGAATATGTTTTCAGTCACGCAGTTATGTCACACACATATGTATATCAAGTATATCTCTGGCAGGGGATAGAAAACAAAGATAAAGGATTAAAGACAGACATCTGTTGACTTATCTGAGGAGCTATCTGTCCCGGCATTACATACTGGGGCCAGTAAGAGCTGCTGGTGCTTGACCCGTTGCAATCCTGCTGTGTTGTGCACTTAAGCCTTTGAAGCTATGTATGTATATCACAAACCTCAAAGGGTGGCAGCTGACCTAAACAAATAGTCGATAAACACTTTGCAAAGAGCCTGTGTTTGTTATATGTACCATAATGTAAGCTTGCAGTCAGATCAAACCAAACTTAAACTGCTTTTACTTCCCTGCTTTTCCAAACCCCTCTATCTGAAGCATATCTCTTGAAAGCATTAGCTTCAAAATCTAGCCTCTAGGGACAATACGGAAAAACTAATTGTAAATAATAAGCTTTAAACAGAGGATTGTTATGTCTCCATGAAAACAGCTGAAAACTATCCCTCTGCTTTAGAATTTAGACTTGCAACACAAGACACCTGAGAAGCACAATGCTAGAATCTAGAGCCATTTCCACAGAACTCTTTAATTTTAACTGTTGGTTCACATTACACAAGTTTTGGGAGTCTTTACTATACATTTCCTTTTACAATGTCATATAAGCATGTTTTAATATTTTTAACTGAATACAGATTGTTTAAAAAATAATCTTGAAAAAGTCAAAAACACACTCTACTAAGTAGTACCAGGATTTATCTTCTAAATTTTAAACCAGCTTCTGCCTCCATTTTAAATTTATCTAACTGTCCATAATAGATAAAATGTCACAGGAAAAATCTTTTTACAAGGAAGAAAATATTTTCCTGTTTAATGACCTACTACAGCAAAGCCCAAGACGTTCCCAGACAGGTGCCAAAGTAACCAGAAAAAAACTCCCAAATGGCTCATGCACCTGCTCTGAGACAGCAAACTTCTCCTACAGCATTGCTTCAGCAGCTTTATTGTACAACAAGCTGAAGGAGAAGGGCTGATCCAACACACCCTCCCCATCTCTAAAATTAGCAGCAGAACTAGAGATGAAATCGGGTGTTGAGTATTTCTTGGCAGATATGCATAGCTCTGTAAGTGCCAGTAATGTCTGCTGTGGTATGCACTAAAGCTGGCATGATAGTGCTGTACATTTCAGAGAAGCTCTTAAAATGACATGTGTTCATGCTATGAGAATCTTTACTATCTTCAGCTTTTCATGTATCCCTTTCCATAGACACAGTCCATAAAACTACCCTGTTATTTTTATGCAATTCTCCCACTGCTTAGTCATGAACATCTGAGAGTATTTGAATTCATACAATATAGGTTACATAAAAGTCTTTAGGTAACCAGACGTGGTCCCATTTCTTACCATTCTTAAAGCTATGGAAATATGCTAATAGTGACCCTCAACTCCCTGAATTTGAATCCATTGACTATTTATCAGTTATGTTGCATTTCAATACTTTTCAATAAAATGTCTTTCATTTCCCTAAAACTTTCACCTGAAAGCATAATTTAGTACTTATACAGGACAATATACTCAATAATTTTAGAAAGAGAAAAAAAAAGAAATTTTTAGATTAATTGATTCAGAACTTACTTCCCGTATTTTTTGTTAGGTAATAAAAACAACTATTTTTGCAGCTTTACCACATGACTATTTCATGCCTTTGTTCTCATTGGTATCGTGTTCCAAACAAAACAAACAGTAAACAGTGCATGCTGTCACCTCACTGCATCTGCATGTTCGATAAATGAAAGGATATGTAAAATTACTTACTGAACACATCTCCTCGCGGTTTCTGAGGATCTGGCTGGATCCTGTTGTCATCTATAATCCCTTTCGAAGGTGTAGTTTCAATGGGAACTTGTGAAGGTTCTTCAGTTATTACAAGAGGAGGTCTCTGTGGTGGCAGTGTAGGTCTTATCGTTGTAGGTTGAGGTGGTGGTGGAGGCCTCGTTACCAGCGTCGTTACTGGCCTGGTCGTCACTGGCACATATCTAGTGGTTGGTCTTGTTGTCACTGGCATGTATCTAGTGGTTGGCTTTGGTGTCAGCCGAATTGTCGGTCCAGGTGTAGGCTGGGTCGTTGGTCTGGGCGTAGGTCGAGTTGTTGGTTCAAGTGTAGGTCGAGCCGTCGGCCTGGTCACCGGCTTTTCTGTAACAAAAGCAGGGACATATGATGGTCTGAGGGGCTCCAACATCAAGAATACTATTTTTTTTATACCACTGCCTCCTTTAAGGAGAGTGCAGTTGCCCTTGAATATATGATATGGACCAGGTGGTTCAATAGGAAAACACTAGGAATAACTGCAAAGAGAATCAAAATGGGACCATAGTGGACATCTGAGCCTCTCACACCAGAAGCTTAACAATCTATTTCATTATGAGACAGAGAGACTTTGCTGAAATAACTTTTTTCTTCTGAATGTTTCCACCAGTTAGAAACATACTTAAACATCAGCACTGCTGAGTTATCATATCCTTTTAGATAGCACTTCTCATTGCAGCAGTTTAGATGATTTAGAATGACTGAACACCAAAAGATTTCCATCCCCACCTGCTCCCAAGCACTACATCTCTTTCAGAGTTAGTAAAACTCACACAAAAGCACCGCTGATTGAAAAAGCACAGGCAGGAAGCTGTGGGTTAAGCAGACCTCTAAATTGTACAAGTTCATAATCAGGAGTGGAGACAAGTTTAGTAAGACTCCTATGTTACAGCCATTTTGGTCACAGATGGGCAGACACCTCTGGCTTAAGAAAATTATCTTTCAGACCCCTGCTTCTAAACTTTCCTCCATGTCAATAAACAGTAATCATTTTACAGAGACAGAACCTAAGCCAGACTTAATTTAAATCTTTACCTTTGCTAGGCATCAGGAAACTGAGTAAATTACGGTTTTTTAGGTTTCACAAAAATGAGGTGAACTGAGCACCACCTACACACCACAGTGACAGGATTTACAGTACCATCTCCTCCACTATTTCATAAAGAAAGTACAACAAATTTTAATTTGGTTTCACAAGGGGAGTTTCTGCAGACATGGAACACATGAACATCTGTTTTTCTATTTATAATTCTCTATTTGTTAATAAGCCTTTTATATCTCAATGGAGATCTTAAGAGGCCAAATAAGAACTCTAGTCACATATTTTGTTTACAAGTGTTTCAAGTATATTTAAAGTATATTTAAAGTATATTTAAAATAACAAACTACTGTTTGTTAAGCAATGAATTGTTTATGATAGCAGGTAAAAAGGTTTTCCCTTGGTCACTTGTGTACATTAAAATACAAAACATACCGTAGGACAATGTCCCAGGAACACACATGTAATGTGACCACATATAATTATAAGCGCTCCACTTGTGAAAGATCACCTTTTACCATGATAGCTACAGCCAAAGGAAAAAATGGCATTGCTCTTTAAAAAAAAACAGAGTCAAAGACCAGATCCCAAAAAAGAACACAGGGTCCTCGAAAAGATTCAGCAGATGTCAAAGAGCTGCACGGTCCTGTGGGATGTCAAATGTGGGGCCTATTCAGTACCAGGGGGAATGGCTGCTTCACCCAAGAATGAGGTGGGCAAGCAAATTCTCCAACAGTGAATTCTTTTAGAGAAACCCTCCCTCTCATCTCTGTTCACATCTGGGAAGCAGGAGGGAGTGGATGGGGTGAGCTGCTGAAATGGGCCAGTTCAGGAGTGTACACAACAACAGGGTATGAGTAATACGCTATTTGATCAGACCTACCCTGCTTACTCACTTGTTCTCATCCTGAAGCAATCTCTAGAATCAAGCTGTGAATAGGGAGAGATGAATTTCTTTCTAATTATGAAAATGTCTCAGGGAAAGGTATTTTTACCAAGGCGTGCTAAGACTCAGAAAACTCCAACTACATTCCCCAGCCCCTTATTAAGTATTAAAAATAGCTTATAGAAACTGAGCCTAATAGTGCAATACCTTAAGGTTTACAAAATGGGATACGTTAACTTTCAGAATCTGTTTTTCAAAAGAAGCATTACATACGTATGCAGCTTGTTCCATTGTCTCTGTAACCTTCTTTACATTTGCATTTGTAGGATCCTGGGGTATTGTAACAGTGTGAAAAACTACCACACTGATGGTGGCCAAGGGAACATTCATCTATATCTGCAACAGATTAAAAAAAAAATCATTTGCTTCAAAGAAACTTGACTTTTTGCTTATCCCTGCAAAAACATAAACATTATTACAATTATTTTTAAAAAGTAATAAAACTGAGTTGCCAGTGAGAAAAGGAAGGTAGACAGTCACAAACAACGGGGTGATACAAACATTAGGGTAAAAGGGACTACTGGGCAACTTTTGTATTGCTTGGCTTATGCCTCAGCATCAGCTTCAGACATGCCTTGGGATAGACTGAAGTTGAGATCATGAAGATCACAATTTTAATAACCACTTCTAACAGGTGACATATTAAGAAAAGAAAAACAGTGTAGGAATATTCCAGTGCTCTGCATAGAAATTTCTCTGAAAAAATACACTTAAACAGACATAAAGCAATGCCTCGTTATCTCCACATGATCATTTTTTTCAGTGAAAGGATCATAACCAGTTGAGACTCCGAAAGTAAGGCAGTGGGACCTGGGAATATCTTTGTTGAAGGGCATACATGAGCTGCATTCCAGTCTCATGTCCAGACACAGGTTATTTCCCAACTCCTGGCTTCTCCCCACCTGTCTTCAGGGGAAGGAAAGTTGGGCAGTCTGGGTTGGAAGTGGCTGGGGTGTGCCCATTTTCTTATCTTGGATCTTGGGGCAGACCGGTGTTACAGCTCAGACACAGCCTAAGCTCATACACTGCTCCAAGCCTAAATCTGCCGGTGCACAGTGAACCCTGCAGGGACAAAGGCTTTGGAAAGGAATTCCTGGGGTCATCATCTCTGCTCTCCCACTAGCTTCCACACAAGAACCAGTTAGAAGAATGTGGGCCAAATAGATGTCTTGTCTTTCACAGTCTATTTCTAAAATCCACCCCTTCTTAAAATACTGATGCAGTGTAAAACAACCTGCTTGAATATTTCAGCCACAAAAACCAAAAATTCCTCTTTAAAACATTAATTTCATTTTAGAATATGCAGTTTTATTACATGCATGTAAGAAATAACTTGTTTTTACCATGGCATTGGTATTTGCCTCCGATGTACATCAGATCAAAGCCTTGGTGACACCTGCAAATGTAGCTTCCAAAAGTATTGACACAGTGCCTAAATCTTGGACAGATAACTCTCCCAGTAGCACATTCATCAATATCTGTGGAAACAAAGAAACTCTATTATTCTTAATAGCAGTTTAAAATACAGTCTATGTTGTCTAAATTAAACTGATTTCACATAACGGAAAGCCACAGAATAACCAAATTATTTTTCATAGGGTCCCTTGGTCAGCCAGCAGTAATACCTGAGCACTACTTCTGATTGTGTCATCTTACTTCAGCTCTTGGTCACATGCCCAAATTTTTATGCCTCCTATTTGAGGAGCCTTTTCAAATGCTGCTGGGAGTAACAAGAGATGTATCAGCATAACAAGCACTGTTACTGAATTTTGAATGCTTGCTCTATGCACTTGCTATCCTCATACCTTCCCCTTGGAGATGAGATGTTTTCCAATTCCCCGCAGAATGGCGTGACAGCTTCCTCAAGGCCTCAAAGCACTCATCCTTGAGACTCTAATGGTTTTTGTCTGAAGAAAATCTATTTCACATTATTTGTATAACTTTCATTTGCCCCGCTAAGCCCTGCCTGGTTATAAAGACAGCACCTGGATTTATAGGCAAGGAATTATAACTAAAACTACTGCAGTAATTCTTTTTCTGAAACATGCCTGAAATATTGTTCCTGTAGCACAGGTCATACGTGCACATTCAAAGCACACAGTTGGAAGTGGTTTGTTTTCTTAAAATCTCAGGTGTCCCTAATCCATGACCTGCCCTTTGAGCCTATCAAGGTATCTTCATCTGTTCAGGACTTGCTCTAAACAAAGGGAGGTCAAGCTAACGCTAGGGCTGCAGTATTTCTATCTCTCCTACCAGTCAGCTGCCACAGGTCAAATGCTTTTTGAGTACCCGTTCTTTTCAATCTCTTATGCTGCAGTGCCTGTGCTGTAGCTGAGGCCTCTTTCACAGAGAAGGTGGCTACTTAAGTGACCTTAAAATACCTCTGAGGTGCTGAGATACATAGCTCCCAGCAAGACCTGAAGCCGTGCCGCTGCTCTTCATGCTGACTAACAAGACAGGCAGACAGCCAGGGCACAGCTGATGCTTACCCAAGGCTGCTTTCACTGCCTGGGAAACTCTCAGGCGAGGTCAGGCTGACACACAAAAGCTGCTTGCGCTACCACCACTCATTCTGTAATCCTTGGATACTGAACTGAAGCCTGCTGAGTGCTAGAACACTAATTCTTCACTGAGGGAGAGACCTGCCGTGCACAGCTGACTCTGGCACACACAGCTCCTGATGTTTCTTGGTTATCTACAGGGCACAGTTCAAGCCTTTGCTCTGCAGCTCTATCAGGCTCTTGATCTATGGGAAAGCAAGATTTCGCCCTCCATGCAACTCTTTTCCCAAAAGCAGCACTTCAGCTGCAGATGTCAAGAGTGCAAAACAAAGCCAAGTGACTGATGTCCTGCTCCTTGTAAAAGAGGCCTGAACAGGGCAGAGAGAAGCCTGAGTCTCTTCCACCACACAGAAAAAAATGTTACCACAAAGCTGGTTAGTTAGGGCAGCCACCTGAGGCAGGGGAGAGGTAGCTTCAAATTCTTCAAGATGTGTTGTTTCCCACAGCTAAAAGAAGTGACCTATAACCATGAATTACCAGCCAGATGGATTCTCCCAGTAGCTCCTGCTGGCACTGTCCCACTCTGCATGAAGAATTACTGAGGACAGGAGGGATTCAACCCCTGAGCTCCCACACTCCTGGCCCGTCAGACTGTTCTGACATAGCTGCAAATCTCCACTCTCCAAGGAGAGCACTGCTGGAATGGTGCAGTAAAGGCTTGAATGAGAAAGAAAACAAGACCAATACTGGGCACCTCTCCACATGCCTGGGTCTTCCTATAAATCTCTCTTGATTTGAATCTATTATTAACATTTAAGGCTTTGAGTATGCTGTTAAGTCTTGCAAACTCTACCACATTCTTCACTAGAATTTAAATTACAAGTCACAGTTTTTTACTCTTTATTAAAATATTATTCCAAGGCTGCAAGTTTCAAACTCTTGATTACTGTGAATTAGTTCTGTTCTTTGTTGGTTTTGGTTGTTTTTTTTCAATCTTTAAACCACAACTTCAGAAAGTAATTCAAGAAGGAAAAGAATAGCCATTGAACGTATCTCAGAATGGATTATGATCTTTAAAACCTAATGTAGCTTGCCCTGCTCTTCCCTTTCCACACATTCACATTTCTGCAAATTCACATCAGGCAAGCAGTATGTTACACAATGAGAACAGTGTCATGTTATTGTTTAATTTGCTATGCAATTATACCTCTTAAAGATATAAGACTGAACTGCTAATCAATACACTTTAGAAAACTGACACAAAAATAATGGAAAAATATAACAGTCTTCCAAATGCATTTAATATGAGATGCATGGATACTCATTATGGGGGGGGGAGGGGGAACCAGGTTTTGATCATTAGCTAGAAGATGATGTGAGAGAATGTTTATGATTACTTTCCTGTAGTTCTCAAATAGTGACTGTGGCATCTTTCAAGTCAATTCACACCTGGACCAAATGGTGTAAGGCTGTTTCCCTCTGCCTGCTACAACATGCTGTGGTTCATACCTGCTTCCTAAGAAAAGCAGGGATGAAGAAATGAGTTGTATTCTCATCTCAGTGCCAGGGAGCTGCTCCAAAGGCACCTAATGCAGACAGCACCTAATGAGTGTGATGGTTACTGTTCAACAGAGAAGCAGAATTACAGTCTTGTCTCTTTCTTGCTGTATGATCATATTACCAACTCAAGGACAAAACAACTAGGAGACTGATTTAAAAACTGATTTTTAAGTTTACAAAGCCATTTTTTCAAATTTCTATACACACACACACAGACAAAAGGGAAATAATTTATTTTATAGTGAAAATCATTATTTTCAGTCCTCAAATAATTTCAGACCTTCTGAAGCTGAAATGTGTATCCTGCTAACTTCATTAAATTAAAATCCCAATCCAAAAATCTGGCAACACTGATTGATTTATTGATTCAGTCATTTATTAATTAATTAGTTGTTTAATCCACATTTTCACTGAATATTTTGCTGATTTATTTTTCACTTTGTTCTCATTTAGTTTATATGATTTACTTTCACAGCCAAATTCGTGGTTTTTTAATGACTGTCTGGAAGGAACATTTTAACAAGAGAATGATCAGCATGGGTTAAGAATATAATAGCGCCTAGAGGAATTTCCACCTGTGCTAAAAAAAGCCATTACATTCCCAGCTGTCCTTCAAACTCTCCTCAAACAAGGATTTCATGAGATGTAGCCAATGCATAGTTCAATTTTCTTATCATCATCTACGCTTCTATTCGTACTGCAGCATTATCCAGACCTTTGCTGGAGCTGACAGCTTCCACAAGAGTGATGGACTTGTACCCATGTGAGCAAAAGGCATAGCCCTAATCCCAAATAACTTCAGTTCTTGGAAGCATTTAATACAAATCAACTCGATAGAGAAATGGCACAAAAAGGGTGCACATCATAAGCACTTCATACCAAAAATAGGGGAGTACATTACGTTATGACGTGGAAAGAACAGACATCTCCAGCTGTAACTACTTTCTCTGTATTGTACAAGCCTGTTCTGAAATTTTTCTGGAAATTTTAGAAAGAGGTTATGAGACCAATCTGAATGATGCACTCCCAACTGAAATGTGAGTACTACACAGTTCTTCACCTTTCTGGGAAAAAAATTGGGTTTTTTTAAAACTACTCTGAAGAACTGAAAGAACTTCATATGACTGGGTTGAGTGCTAGTCTTTGGCATTAAAGTACACTTTGTTTATCTCAAAGTATGAAGTTTGCCTGAATATAAAAATGCACACTAAGAGAATGTTGCAAGCGTTTTTTCTAGCAAGTTTCTCTACTTGGCATAACTTCCTTGAATTTGTACTTAAAATCACTCAGCTCACTATGGCATGGCACAAATATATTCCAAAGATCTCTGTCTGCCATAATGTCTAAAATGCAATTAATCATAATTTAATCCCTTCAGCATGTAACAATGGTGGAGGCTTTTTTCTCCTTTTTTCCATTCTTTTCTGTACATAAGCACGCCAATTATGTACTTTAAAAAACCCTCAACTTAGTGTGGAGCTTGCTCTTCACATCAGAAGATATGAAATCTGTCCCTTTCTCTGCCAATAAATTCCTGGTCAGCACAGGTCAGGCACTTGGGAGAACCACCTGCCTCATGAACAGCCAAGACACCCTAATGGATGTTTAGGACATCTACATTTTCTTGCATTCTTTCAGGGTTGTTACTGGTTATGGAACTGTAGCACTGCATGGGTTATAAATAATAAAATCACTGGAGCATCATATACACTCAGGATGTATAGTTAATGACTAATAAAATCACACGTCACACTGTTCTTCAGACCATAGTAGAGTCTGATTAACCATAAGCACCTTTTCCATGTCCACAAACGAGGAAACAAAACATCTCACATCACACTCTGAATTCCTGAGTTTATTTTAACGTGGAGTTTTCACAGTATGGAAGAAAGATAGCAGATTCAATTCCATTAATACTGGGAGCAAGCACAGACCTCTGCTTTGTTCCACTATAATCTCAATGACTTTTACAACTTATCCCTCTACGCCCTGAGCTAGGCACCACCATGCTGGGTATGAGGGAGAGCTGACCTCCCATTCCTTTTTTTATGCGGGCAGGTATTTTGGAGTCTTGGGCCCAAGGGCTTGGATACCAAACAGTCTGTATGGGCTTTAGGCAGACAATGAAACTTGCAGGACTGGAGGAAAACACTGACAATCACTGACAGAGACCACTTGATCAACACGCCTCATTATAATTCTCATTAGTAACATCTTTACGTTGCATGTACAGTGCATTCTAATTTCATCTGAAACTCTCTTGAACTCCATTAAGTGTAACTGTGGAGAGAAAAAAAAATACTAAAACTACATTTGATCACCTACCTATGCAAGTCCTGCCATCAGGCCCCAGCTGCAGCCCTGGAGAAGGACAGCGGCAGCGCACCTCCCCTTTCAGCACATCACAGCCATACTGACAGTTTGCCATCAAGCAAGAGAGGGCATCTAGAGAAAAACAGTTGAACATCTTTAGATAAGGACTCTGATCAGTACTAGAAAATTACTGAAAACTCTGAAGAATTAAGATGTCACATAGTTATGATAGAGGTGGAAAAATGCTTGTTGAATTTGACCGGTATCCTTTTGGGCTTCAAAGGGCAAATGCATCTGCAGTATAATTCGTCTCCCCAAAAACTGCATCTCCAAAGGAGGGGGGGTCGAGGGGGGAAGAAAAGAGAGAAAACCACCACAATTGTTGCAAGTCGTGTCATAGAATGCAGCCCCCATGAGGAATATAAAGCCCAGTATGTAACAAATTCTCCTGGACAATACTGCCATTTTAAAATAGGAGCATCTCTAATTAAAGGTAATTTCTCTTCCCTTCCCTCTGTCCAGGCATTCAAGATAACCACTTTTATGGGAGCAAGTAGGAACCTGATCTCCAGAGAGATGACAGTACAGTTTTATACCAGTCACACAACCAACATCTGCAGCATTAAAGATTTTACATTCACAAGGCAGAACTGCAGGTGTCTTGCTGCAATGAAAACTGCAAGCACTTGTCCTTGAAGGCCAATTAACAGTGATTTACAGCACTAAAGAATGCTTCTGGGGAAACTTGTAATAAAACTAATAAAATCAAAATAATTGCTTTTGGTTTTCTCAGCCTAATTTTATTAGGAAAAAAAAAAAAAAAGAAGCTCATCTTGCGCAACCAGCTAATTTCCAGGAAGATTAATCTTTTACTTTGGAACCCGTCTCTGTTTCATAGAAGTTTCCCAGGGAAACTCAAGCAGGGATTCTGAGAAGCTTGAAAAAAAAGCAAGCAACAAGCCTTGCCGTACTCGAGCACGTTCCATCTGGCATAAGCATGTAGCCGTTCAGACAGTAGCACTTGTAGCTGCCGTAGGTATTCATACACCGGTGTTTGCACGGCCGTGGCTTTAGTCCACACTCATTCAGATCTGAAATGAAGGGCACAAGGGAAGAGAGTGGGAAAAGAAAACACACAAAGCGTGTGTGACAAAACTAACCAGCTCAAGTTGCTGGAGAAAGGAGGAAAAACATGGCAATTAGCTATTTATACGCAGTTCAGCCGATAGCAAGTGTCCAGAACGTTCTGTGCAAAGCACTGTTCCTCCCTCCTGCCAAGTGGCTTATTTTCTTTGGTTCATCGATAGCTTTTCAGAAATTATAGCATTAGTATTAGATGATGTGCCAGCCATTTCATTAGGGAACACGCAAGCTCAGGATGCCCACACCTTGCCACTATTCATGTTGATGTCATGTCCAGGACCAGTCAGCACTCTGGAGGAGCAGGAGGAGGAGTAAGAAAGCAAATGTCACTCTGTAATCACTATCAGCAATTCTGATAGTAATTCACTGATTCACTATCATGCTTCAAAATTAGTTGCAGAGGAAGGTAGGAAAGCTGATGCTAACCTACTTCAAACAATCTCATGGAGAAATATTTTTATTTACTATCTAAAAAATAAAAAAAAAAAGTATCTGACATCAGTTATATTTGTTAAGGGCTATCCACAAAGGCCTGTATTTCAGATTTACAATTTAATACAGATATTTAATACAAAATATTTAGCCTCCAATTTCCATATTAGTAGACAGGGCTTTAAACAAGAAGTGAAGATTGAATTATTTCCTTCAGAATTCTCTTCCAAGAATGTGTTGATATTAACTGAGTAAACCAGAATATTATGTTACTTAGTTATTTGTATAGTGATAAGAAAAGATGACAACAAGGGTGAAAATAATAAATCTATTCAAAAATCCAGACAGTGAGTACTTAAAAAACTGAGTTACCGACTCTCATCTTTAATATTGCACAATGCTCTCTGGAGCTCTGTCACAGGAGGAAAATTGCCATGATTTCCAGAATTTTTCAAAGAGCCATCTCCCACTATTAAGCACTATCTCATTAACTGTCAATCCCTCATCCATGTAGCAGAAAAGCAAGCCTTGGGCTTCTACCATGTGGTAGACCCACACACAGTAGCCACTTCATAAAAATAACTGAGGAGGTGACATATACTTTCTGTGGGCTAGAGGTGAAGGCTCAGGGTTAAGGTGTTAAAGATGTTAAAACAGAAAGATAAATTTACCTCTGGTTAGAATAAAGTCAGTGATTTGTTGATTGCTTTTCAAACTAAAGTAGAAAACTTAACAGGGTCTAGTAAATGGAGTGAGAAAAGTTACATTCACTGTGGAGAAGAAGGTAGAGAAAACATTGCTTCTAGACAACTATGCCTGGAATTTTTCTAGTTCCTAATGTTTGGATTTTAAATTAATCCTGAAATACTGTAATCACTTAGTTTTAGAGAGCAAGGTTTTTCATCTTATTCTTCTCAGGCCAAAATATTTTTAAATAGCATTCTAAAACTGAGAAATACGTTCCCTTTCATTTTGACTAATAAAATGCAGAGCCATCAAGAGAAAAATAAATGTACCAGACTAAAAGTCACTGATGTAATCCAAAAGCAGCCACAAGTTTGTTGCCTGTTAAGTCCCTGCTGCTCCAGAGAGCTCCTAACAGTGTTTATGTGTATCATAAAATCTGTTGTCTTCTGACCTACTTTGTTTTCATCTTCATGGGGGTCAAGGAATAGAGAGTGAGGTACTTGCCCTTCCCCTAACTGATAGATATGACCTACTTTACTTCATTTTCCAAGGCCTCGGGAAGAGCAGCATCTTCAGAGACAAGAACACTTCCTGCTCCCCCACAAGAGGGTAGTGATAAGGGATATAATTTTCCCTTTCTTCCTGTGGAAGGCTGACCATTATGTTTCTAGGAAACCTTAAGGGGAATATTTGCTCCTCAAGTGGTGAGGAGGATCAGGTGAGCATAAGCAGGACTTCACTGAGGGAAAGTTGCCAAAATAAGGGCCAGAACAACGCCTGATAAACAAGGGGTGATAACCATCTCCACAGTCCTCCTGTGGATCATGCGCTGCAGAAAGAGCACTCCATTTCAACTCTCACTCTTTGGGAGCTGGAAAATTTTTCAGTAGTTGCTAGGAGAACATACTTCTCCCAACAGGCACCACTGCCCCAGTAACATGAATGGACCTGCTGGGTTTGAGAGAAACAGCTGTAGAAGAATGCACATTTAGTCCTGTGGAAAGAGATCTTCTGCAGGATAGCATATGTGCCTAGGTCAAATGGGAATGCAGCAGGTGATTATGTTAGAGGGGAAGGACAAGTTTTCATTGCGAAAACCTTTGAGTACAAGAAGCTTTACATGAAAATGTTCAATAGTTAACAGATGAAAGCTCACATTTTGGAAGTTAAACATCTCTCGGAAGCACCAAAAAAAACCCTGCTTTTTTTTTTCCTTTTTCTGTACAACATACAAGTAGGCAGCTCCTGACAGACACTATAACTGCATGAACATATTTATTACACAAACAATGTGTCTGTTAAAAAAAATAATTGTTAAATTCAAAAACTCTGCCAGCATTTGATTTCAATTCATAAACATATTCCCAAGGGGTCCACAATATTGAGTATACTGAGGTTCACTGACAACCATCATTTTGAGATGTAAAGCAGAAGAAAGTAAAAAGTAGGAGGAAAAAAAAGAGTGTAAAATATGTATATTTTTCCTCTTTTGTACAAAAGGATGACTTCACAAAACAAACGCATAACAGAGCTAAGTATAAAATACTTAACTAGATGTAGGGGCAGAATAAGGAAAGGTAACATTGAAATTAAGTTGACAGAGCAGGATTTTAACAGTTCCTTGTGGTAACTTCTAATGTTTAAATCTCCTTGCAATTCAGTTCCTAAGTTTAGATACTCCTGAAGATTTAAGAAGTGTCTTGCACTTATTTCCAGAGTTATGACCACAGACTCAAAACTGAAAATCATAAGAATTTATGACTGGTCCCAGTTTACAATCTTGCATAAAGTATAGATTACATTATGAGCCTTAAAAAAACGGATCTTTCTATAGGACTCTGAATTCTACACCACCATTTGGTACAAAATATTCTTAGTACAGAAATGAAAGCTCTGGTGCTGACAAATAGACAGCTATTAGTAACAAACTCTAAGAATAACCTGGTATTAAAAAACAGGCGCAATCAACTCTATTACGATATCAAGTCACACGCTTTCTCTTTGTGGAAGTTTGGCAAATTATTTCTATTGCCTTCATTATATTTCTGTCTATGAACAAATGCGGTCTGATTCCTCTGATTCCCATCTTAAAAAACATCTTGAAAAAGTAAAAATTTTAACTTGGTTGATGTAACAGACACCTAAGGTCATCAGACAGCAAAAACAGGCTGTTAGCACAACTCCACTAAACCTAAATCTCCCGTGTCATTGGTTTTCACTTTTGCCTTTGAAACTGATTATTGAGAGAAAGATGTTTTTAACTTTATGGAGTCAGAATGAATGCTACTGTTCAGGAAAACACGCATTGTCAGTGCTAGGGCTGCTTAAGAGAAAAGCCAGCCTGCGAACAGATTAGGTGTGTTAGAGCACACTGCTCAGCCCATCCAATTTTTCCCAAAATGCAACTTTTCTTCTTGTCAGCAGTGCAGACAGGCACATACTCGGAAACCACATGACAAGCATCACACAGTTCCCTGGGAGGCACATTGTATGATTCCTGGCAGGTCCTACTAGTTCTACATAAAGGCCTGTATGAATATGCTGACAGCTCCCTTGATCCACCTCCACTCATCCATAATCTGTAGCAGCATACTTCCTTAAGAAATGTCTGGATGTGCTGCACATGGACAGGGGGAGCACTGGAGTATTCCTGCTATTTTATATACTAGCTATTTAGATCTGTCTGAGTGTTTCTTGTTCCTTAAGTAAAGGCTACTTTTCAAGAACAGGCTCAGACAAATGTCAGCAGCCAAAAAAAAAAATCAGCCATAGCAACATGGCTCTTGAAGAAACGCCAGTTACTTACCAATGGTATATTTCAAGAAACCTCTATAAAGACATCACAGTATAAAAGTCTATGCATCAAAAGAAGAAATAAGAAAACAGCAGAAGTCATGTCTAAAAAAATTGAAAGCTAAAATGTATAAACTCAAAGGGTAATAAAAATAGCATTTTTATGATAATTTCTTTTTGTCACTTATAATCTCGCACCAGCATTTAAAATATAAAGTGTAACACTTACAAAGTTCAACAAATCCCTTTTATTTCTCTGTGGGGATGACCACTCACTGTCCTGCACCTGGGAATTTCATTGATCTGCCATTTAATTTCCCACATTGCATACAATTGTGCAGTCAGTGCAAAACCAGCACTCTTCATTTCAAAATAACATAAGACAGTACTGCACATAAAAACAGATTGACAGTTTTGAGCACTATGGAAAGCAGGTTCATAACAAACACAGGCTGCTGAGTACAAGTATTTTATTTTTAAAGAAGTGAAATGAAAATGTGAGTGAGTACAAAGAAAGGACAAGTGCCTTTTGCTGGCAAATCCGGATGTGACTTCTTTGGTTGCTGTGAGGCGCCACACACGATCTTGGACCAACTTCAGTGAACACTTAACAATGGGGCGTTTATCCCTAGCAAGATGCAATACACTCTGCTATTTTTAATTAGCTTCTGCAGACTCCAGCATTCAGTTTTCCTGCCTTTTTCTGCCTATTAGCTAACTTGGATCAAGCAACACGAAAGTCAAATGTTCAGTACCTCACTCACTCAACTTTGAAAATAGAAAACCAAAGACCAGAAACCAAGTACAAAAATTAAATTGTTATCACCATGCTATAAAGAGTAGATCAACTTTCATTTCCAGCAACTATCATCACACTACCATGTCAAACTCATGAGAGATTTGTAACCCCCAAAGAGAGTTTTGTTCACATCAATTAGTGTGATTAATCAATAGTTGCCAAATGCAGAAGTTAACACTCATTTTCTTCAACTTCCAGCTTTATCTAAATCAGTTTCATCTTTATCTAACCTGATAAACAATTTCCATTCCTCTCACTTTACAAAGGAACTCAGAAAAAAAGAAACAAATGACAGTGACAACCACGAGTGTGGTGGAGAGTCAAAACTTTTCAGAATGCAGGCATAGAGCATCAAGGAAATACAATCAGTTATTTGCTCTGCACGCTAATGGCACTGCAAGCTCAGCTTTCCCATCACAGCCATCACTCTATTAGCCTCCACCCTCTTTGCAAGAAATTGCGTCACTGTTCGAAGCTGTGAAGGTAGAAGGATCACACCACCTTAAACACAGGACCACCTCACCCCTTGACACTGTATTTATTGCACGATGATCCAGGGGTTGGAATAGAAGTGTTTCACACGGCAAGGAAACATACCCTGATCCCAGATCCAGCTCGAGGGTCTCGTAATAAAATAGCAGCAGTCACCTGAACTGGTGTACATCTGGGACACCACAGTCAGTAGGCATCTCAGAAACCTCATGCACCTCTGCCAGGACAACACTGTCACCAATATCAAGCAAGAATACTGCCTAAAAGGTTTCCTTTAATCATTTATCAATAGTTTTTTCCTTCCATAGCATTTACTGGCAAGTACATAGTTTAGTTAAGGACTGCAGCCTCTAGCAGTTTGCACAGTATTTTTTTTTAATATTATTAAAGTAATTAGTACATATAAAACCTGTTCCATATACATATAACAACTGCTAGTTCACTGCACTGTTTTCTAAAAGTGTTCTAGACTGACTAAACCATGTATAGAATAAGATCATAACAACACATCCTTTAAAATGTCAGCCCAGAGTAAGGGGATAAGAAGACAGGGTAATTTGAGAGATGACAAACTTGTAAAAAACCTGAAAAACACAACATTCATTTCCACATCAGTTCAGGAAGCATTAGTAAATTCAAAAACAAATATGTATCTATTTTTAAAGAAAATAACTCTAAAATTCAGCACATCCTAAGAAAGTTAGCCAACATCAGGGGACATTTTTCAACAACAAAATCATCCTAAATATCACACTCTTCTACCATACTTCCTCAACACTCAGAAAATGCATTAACTTTTCCTGTAGGTTGAGACACCTGGAAAAAAGAACAGTCTCATGGAGACATCTTTGCTTGTATGTTTTATGCTTGGCCATCCAAATCTAATAAATCATGTATTACAATTCTGTTTTATACTCTATGATCTTTATACTATGACATGTTTTGAAAGTAATTTTCAGGAAAAAAAACAAACAATGCAACCATATTGACAATTCAGTAAAACAACACTTAATCTTTACACCAGATCTTCAGTATGTAGTACAGCTTGTTGCTACCTGGCTAGATCAGGATTAGAAAAACAAAAATGAGAATGTATGAACGATGGGGTTTTTTTAATTAAACAAATACTATTTCACTATCCAGAACTGAAAATTGTGACTTTATAAAATAACAACCCTGACCATAAGTTTTAAATAATTTGCCTCAGATTCAGGAAAGCATGTAAAGACATACTATACACTATTCACACTGATTTCAGCTTAATGAAAGCCATTTTTCCCCTGTGTCATCCCATTGCAGATGTCATTCTCTCTACAAATGTCAGATCCAACCAGAATAGCTACAGCAGTAAGAGACCTGCTACATAAGTCCATTACCCTATAAACACAGGTGACACACACAGCATTGGCAGCAGGGAGTAGAGGGATCAACAATACTTCCATGACTTGGAAAATAAACTATTTCTTACCTTGGTTGCAGGTTTTTCCAGTGTATCCTGGGTGGCACTTACACTTGTTTGGCCCAATGCATTCACCGTGTTTGCACCCTGGCTGGCATATAGCTGCAAATAAGAGGAATACTCATTATTTTTCCACTCCAGTTACAGCTGACAGTGCTTTACTTTGAAACAAATGGCAACGACCTAACAAATAGTACTGTTTATGTTCCTCCCATCAGCAACACGATTGCTTCAAATACCACTGTTAACATCAGGTGCGCTTTCAAAAACCACCACCACCCCAAGACTTGTGGGAAGAGGAAGACCTGTAACTAGTCTACTTTTGTACAACATCACATCGTGCTGTTTCTGGGATATTAAACCTGTTTAATACCTAATCAGCAAGCAGGCACCATGCCTTCGCTCGCTCTGTGTGTGTGTGTTCTATGATTCATGACATTAAATTTGATAAACCTGGAATATGCCCCAGCTACACAGAGAACGTGTACATCAATGTCACTGGCAACACAAAAAGCCATTGTGCAGTTATCAGTATTCAGTAGCAGAGATCCCAGCATTCACTGCTTTCCTCTAAGTCTACAAGGCAAGACTCTACCCCTTCGCTGAGCACCATTTTGCCTGAACCTCTCCCTTTTGGGTGCTTGGATTCTGGTATAGGAATTACTTTTTTCTCTCTCTCTCTTTAGTTTTGGAGGAAAAAAGAACTGGGTAAAAGCAACACTGACTGTAATATTCTACTTTATCACTGCACACATCCAACTCACTTCTCTGAATGTTTCAAGCATTTATTATCTACCCTGCTGTTTAGATACAGTCTCAGAATGTATAGACCACAGCTCAGAAATCACAGTCTATTCTGCTTCCAGAGTCTAATAAACACAGAACTCCAAAAAATAGTAGTTAGGAAGCCATTTTTTGGTACCTCTCTTACTATAACACAAATAAAATTCATAAAGCAAACTTTTAGAACTTCAGTAACACAAAAATAAGCATTTCTTTTGAATAAATACAAGAATTCATGCACAAATTTAGTTCTACTGATGTAGGATTAGCTAACAGGAGTATTATCAGAGTGCAATGAATCCTGCAAAGCTGCAGAAACCATCTGACAGATGAAAATTTTAAACATTTCCAAGTTCTCTTTATTAGAAATGTTTTTCTGTTACTAAACATACTATTTCAATCTACTGGAAAAGTGAAGTATTTACTATCCTCTATAATATTGTTTATCATTATATGATAACATGCAGATGCAAAATTCTAGTGAGCTCACTGTTTAAGCAAGACAGGCACAAAATAGACAGAACTTAACTTAAATAGCCTGTAATCAGGATTTATCTGTTTACCCTGGCTTTAGTTCATTTTATAAAGTAACAGTATCATTTGGAATTTGCAAAGTACCTAACTAGATCCAGCTGTAGTATTAATAATTCTAACAACAGGCTGTATCATAAAACTGGATGTATTAAGAATGTAATTTAACAGAAATCTCCAGAACACACTCAAAAATGTAGCTTGCATTCTAGCCAAGCTGTTCAACAGGGTTGAATTAAACAAAATTAAGACAGAAACAAGAGATTAGTTTTGGTTGTGGAAGAACTATGCAAAATATATCTCTGACGTTTTAAAATCTTTTCCATAAGATTCAAAGCATCCAGAATCAGCAGTTCCCTCAAATACATCCATAGAAGCAACTGTTGGCATAGAAGGAGTTTGCTCCAGTTTTAGGACTGCATTTGTCCTTTCTTATCATTTTCGTTTAAACATAGTATATACATATAGTTAGTGATATCCTCTCAGAACATAAAGCCTTGTTTTAAATCTACAGCACTGCTCTTGACAGATCTTTCTAATATGATAGTGAGGTCTCTTTCAAAAAAATTATGTTAAGAAATATCTTAAAACGCAACAGAAAAGGGTGTTTCTAGTTGGATTTTTTTCTTCTCTCCAATAAACACTGTCCAGAAAAAAAAGAAATGTGATTCAGATTCAGAAACACCTCTCACTGACAGTGTAAGGGAAAGTGCCTTCTTAGACTACTAAAAGGTATGTTTCAAAAACTATGCTGTGCCATTAGGGAATGGATAGATCTGACTGAAGAGCAACTGGTATATCATGAGAAAAATCTAGAATACTGTACTTGTAAACATTTACTGCTTTTTTTAATCATGATGATCATAAACAGAAAAAAAAAGTATCTTCTTTGAGCAAGAACTCATTTAGACACTGAGACTCTTATCTTCCTGACATCAGAGACCCAAGTCTAATTAGAGGTGATGGTGGCAAAATGAAAACTGTGAAGACCAACTTCAAAGTCACTAGGGAAAAAGAAAATATGATCTAAACCACAGGAGAAAAAAAGAAACTACTATAAATATGTTTTTAAATTTCAACTGCACTTTAGAGAAGATCCATATTGTGAAGTGCAATATAGTTATTTAAATAAGTCCTTTTTAAAAAACACAAAGTACCATGGGATCAGCTTGGTGTGAAGTGTATCAGTTCAGTAGCTGAAACAGTGGCAAGTTCAGTTTAGCTGACTTTAAAGCCTGTGTTCCTCTCTCAGTTGCATAGATTGTACATTAGTAGCAGCTCTGATAGAGAAAAAACCCCTCATGCTTGAAGATGAAAAGCCTTATAAAATTCAGTAATGAAATAAACGAGATTTTATTTTCATTTAGAAATTAAAATGTTCTTCTAATTCAAAAGGTCAAATACATTTGTATTGGGAATCAGATGTTTTGCTTAATTCTCTCAGTTACCCAAGCAGGTCATATATTGCAATGAACAAAAATTATGTATAAGCATTTGTTTAAAACAACTTCTACAGGTATGAAACATGCAACACAGGCCAGGTTATTACATCATGGAATTGGATCTATGGGATCTCTCAGATCTAGTCCAACATATCTCAACAAATGTACCTACACACTACTCAAGATATAGTGTCTTGTATGACATACAGGTGGGTAACTGCTGATCTAGTCTACCTTCTAGTCTCAAGATATAATTATGAAATGCACTAAATCACATGACAGGTATGTCTCTTTTCCGTTTCTACAAGTCTCAGTTAAAGGAGATCTCGGCTCCTCAACAGTCTCAAGAATCTCTACTACCCCAAGAAAAGCTTGCTAATGATTAGAGGACAACTATCTGTAAAATCAGTCATCACAAAATGCCTTTTTTTTTTTTTTTTGCATATTAAACAGGTACTTGGAAACTTTTCTGTGCTGCCAAACACTGTACTTGAAGAAATCCTGCTTATTAGAGTACATTCTATGCAATTTGGCTACTTAAAGCACTACACATCTTATTTATACACAGCTGAAATTCAATACAATGTTACAACTGAAGAATTTCTATACACAGGAGAAAAATGCTTTGCAGTAAATGTAGCAACATCTGTAGCTCAGCCAACACCACAGATAAATCTCATGGCATTTCCTATTAGGAATCGAGCCACTCTCACCAAAGGTCTTGTTTATCCTCCCATTAACTTTAATGGGGCTTTGCAGGGTGCTCAGGACTTAAAAATCAGATGGTGTTCAAGCAAGCCTGCATGCCTGGCTGGGATTCCACCAGGGACATCTGAATGCCCTTCCCACTTAACCCTAACCCCTACCAGAGTGACCAGGCCCAGAGAGGTGGGCCAGCTCCAGCTCTGCCATCTGCAGCCTGCAAATATTCCCTCCCTTCTCCAAAGGAAGAGATGCCCGTGCATGGCAGCAGATAAATTCACTGACTCACAATGGGTTCTAATAGAACATTCCAAACAATGATATCCAGGTATAAAAATAAGCTTAAGCCTGAGTTTCAGCATTTCTTTTAATAGCAGACGACTATTTCAGCTGTTTGGTATGAGTCTGAGCATACAATACGTGTGCTGATGTGACTGGTGTTTTCTTTTAATTTTTCCACTCTATTTTCTTGCAGAATTGCAGATACAATAGAGAGAACACTCTGCTCAAACACAGACACATGGAGTTTATCCATTTTTTAAACAGAAGTAGACTCCCAAGTAGCAGGGAAAAAAAGTCTCCCAATTAGTATTTTTTGCATCTTGACAAGTAAAAAATTCCTCCACAACCAAGAAACCATTATTTCCCTCCAATTAACCCACATTTACAATGAGTGAAATAAGCCATATGTATAGACTTCAGCCTCTTATGTAATACTTTTTTCCCTACTAGGCAAAAAGAAATGTAGACAGTGGTATACCAGGTTGAGAAAGTCACTCTTACACAGTTAGGGCAATGAAGTACAGAAGATAAGAGTGTGATGAAGGCTGACAAAAAAAAAAAAAAAAAAGGCAAAACCTTTCTACTCCATAATAGCAATTGTTTTAAACAAAAGTTAAATTTACACTTGTATAGAAAAGTGCCACTAAAAATGAGATTCCTAATTTATTTTTGAATCAGTATCAAGATAGATCCACCACTTCTCCAAGCATTCCTCTCTGAAAACTGTTAAACCAGATTCCCGCTGGGTAGTAGTGTGGGCTGACACAGAAAAAAATTCCTAAGCACAGCTGTTTTCAACTTCAGTCAAATATTGCTTATTTATCTATGCCATTGAATAAATTACAACCAAACTTCCCTTTTCATTTTCTTGACCAATTCATTCAAGAAACATCAGCAAATAAACTCTGGACTCAAGAGTATTCATTTCAGTTTGATCATTTTAAATTCTTTTTTTCAGGGCTGAATGTGAAGATTTGATCCTTCTCAGTTCCCATTAACTTCAATGGAGTTGAGGAGGTATCCTGAAGTCTTTTATCTGGCCATAAATCTAATGAAGTATCCATTTTAAAGGTTGGCAAAAACTACCTTTTTCCTACAAAATAAGGTGAAAAATACCACATTTTAAGCCTCACTTATACTTCAGGACAAATTAAACTTTCTGCAAAAATAACACAAGGAATTGAAATGTGAATGAGAGGTTTAGGCTTATGACTGGTTGGTTTTAGGTTTTTTTCTATTGTGGGAGAGAGGAAGGAAGCATTTCTGCTGAAATGCACATGCTGTTAGAATGTGTTATGCTTGTGCAAAAGCCAGAAGCCACCAATCTTCCCAGCCACTGATTGCTGCTGGTGGTATTTGAGT